AAGCATATCTTATAATATGGCAAATACTTATTAAGCAATGGATAAGACAGTCTCCATGTATATGATGGGAAACACAGGGCACTTTTGCATCTAGGGGTCTTATGATTCAGTTAAAGAACATAAATCAACACTTTTAATGATAACATAACCAAGCATTAAATAGTGAGCTATAATAGATGCCATAGCATAACCATTCAGGGATTGCTAGAAAGAAAGATAGTTTAATTGTTGAGGTCTGAATGGGCTTCACAAAGTAAGTACATATTTTTAAATCTACATTTCAGTTCATATAGGAACAGAAAAAATGAACACTAATGAATAGGGAGGGTTTTTTTCCAATGGAAAAATATTGGAAATCAGAAAAAAAACTCAAAATAATGATAAAACTAATTTGATGCAAATAAAGAATTTATGTGAGGAAAAAGGAATTTTAGTTAGATTGGCTAGAGCCTCAAATGGCAAACTTTAGGTTTTCTAAAATGACTGTTCTGTGAAGGAGATCTGTTCCGAGTTTTCTGTCATATAAATGACATGGTAGAGGAGTGTCTGAGAGTTGAACCCTGAAGGATTAAGGTAAAGGAGAGCTCTAGAGCATCTGTGCCAGAATAAATACTCAAATAATATTTGTTAAATCAATGGTTGTGAGGTTCTGTAAAGCAAGTATCATACCTATAGGGTTGAAAAGGGCATTTGTCAATAAAAAAATTAAAGAATGAGTCAAAAGCACTATTGTCATTGACCTTGGTGAAATGACAAACAGTGGCAAGTACACAGTGACATAAATCCTGTGTGTGTGTGAGGGGGAGGACAATGGTGGTAGTAATTGAAAAAGTCACAACATCCTAAGAAAAAAGGATGGCAGGCTCTGTCATGCAATAGGACAGTGAACTCACTGAGTTGATTTCACTTGGAAAATATTCATCAGGTCATTATCAAAGAGTATGAGAACAGAGAGTAGAGGCCAGAGGTGGAGACGGACATATGGGAGAAGTCATGCGAAGACAGAGCAATGGGAAATCCAGGAAGCATTTAGAAACAGAAGAGCCAAGGTTAATTTATTCTCTGTTGGAAAAGTATGAAGTGTGTTGGAGGGGGTAGTTGGGAGGAGGAAGAATGCACAATGCAGAAAAAAAATAAAAGTTAATAAATGACTTAAAAAAGAATCAACAAAGGAAATTAGAAAACTAGGATAGATTATTTTAAGAGATCAAGAAAGAAAAAAGAAAACAAAATGCAAGAAAACAATCACTAGTAAAGATTGCAATTTGGACAGGAAAAATTTAAGAAAATCTAGGATTTATTAAATACACTACTTTTGGTGACTTTTGTTAAGTGTGATTTTTTTCTTTTTGATTAGAGATTTGTCAGTTATACATAGGTTATATGAATAGGTTATACATAGGTGTAATTGAAATTATGATAACTGATTGGATACCACTAGGAGTATATTAGTACAAGATTGCAGACTTAAATTTATACCACAAATAGAAAATAAAAGGCAAAAGTGATATTTATAACTACCTATACGTGAGGACATGTCAAACTAGGAAAATTAGTAGAAATAAGAAAGAATTACTAGAAAGAAATATGGAAGTATAAATAGAAAAGGTTTTTTGGATTTTTTTTACCATTTTATTAGCATATATTCGTTGTGCAGGTGGGTTTCATTGTGACATTTACATATGCACTTACAATGTATCTGAATTAGATTGAATTTTAACAAAAAAGCATTAATGACATTAATAGGTGCAGTTTCAGTGGAGTGTTGGAAAAGTAATATCTGGAAAATATAAGTTAAAAGCAACTTAGTGAAAACATGAGTAAGATGTACTAAGGGAGTATAATTAACCCTAAAGTGAATAGAGACACTTTATAATTTAATTATAAATTATAATAATTATATAAATGATACAGTTTATCCTTTGTATTTTTAAGAATTATCATCACTGTATAGTTGCTTTAGAATGTTGGCTATGTATAATAAACCTTTCAGAAAGATTAGAGGTTATTTCATCTTAGAAGGAGTAATTTATATAAATGTTTAAATGCATGTATTATATATTATTATTTCATTACATTTTACATAATTACATATATCTGTATATTATTTATATTTTTTGTTGATTTACATTTAAGTTTTATTTCTTGTGGTAAGATTCACATTTTACCTCATTCTGATATTTTATCTTCAGTGCAAATTTCCTTCCCAAAATAAAAGCATAATCTAGATAAGTTGTTACTAAAGGAATATGACCTTTTTCTCTTTTATTATATACATAAATGTCTATTGACTATGTAATATAGTAAGGACATTTTTACTCTAAGTGTGTTTAATATCTAACCTTCATTTAATTTAATTTATCTAACATCTATAAATTGATGTCAGATGCCAACCGCACAGCAAATTCTGCAGAAATAAATATTCATTGAAGTAAAGCCAATATGCATTTAAGTAAAAGAAAGGTAGCTATAGTATTTTAATTAAAAAATACATTAATTTAAAAATTATATTCTCCATACTAAATCCTATGCTTGGTACTCAGAAGCCAATACTGAGAGCAAGTCAGAAATAATTCCTAATCTTAGGTACTTACTGGTAAGGGAAGACATCTGGCAGAAGATAAATCCATTGCCCAAATAAACATAACAATGAGACTGTTACAAAGAGACAGCATATGTCATGAACAGGGACTCTTCCTACTCTAGAAGGTGAGGATATACTTACCTATGGAAGTGAGGAGATTGGCATCCAAGAATTAGATGGAATTGATTAGAGATAGAGCAAATAGTCTGTGGAAGAAGAACACTAGATATGTAAGATTTAGAGGAGGTAAGACATATTGGGCACTGAGAGAATGGTATGACTTTAGATAAGGAAGGAGAATGCAGATGACAGGTTTTGACAGTCATGTTATGTGTAACTGTAAGAACAATACCAAGTCATTCATGTGATTTTACCTTTCATACAGTATTACAATTACAAATAAGTAAAAAGAATAATTGGGGCTTAATGTGCTTAAAAGTCAATAATATCAGAGCGAGTACACTGAGCATATGAATAAGATGTTTTAGCTGAGTCTAAGATTCAGGTTAACAAAAGAAGGAAGAGTGGGCTTAGAGGAATTAATTTGACACTCAGTTTAGAAAGTTGTGTTTTAGGTGTCTGTAAAGCATCACATGAATATGGTGAGGCCAAAATCTGAGCAGAAGGAAATAGATATGTATTTGAAACTTAAGGGAGAAATCTGGAATAAATATATAGACTTGGGATGGTTACAAACAAATAGGATTTGTAGTAGAAAATCATCAAGGATGGTATTTCACTTAGAGAAATTTTAAAGAGTGTTACTGCCTGTGAAAAAATAGAATTCCAAGGAATATCAATAATTGTATGTTGATAAGAGGAAGAAAAGAAATGTGAAGAGTGTCACAGAATTAGGAGAGGTAAGAGGTAAAACCTCATTAAAAATTAGCTGAGTCAACTTGTTGTAGTATTTTTTTTAATGATCTAAAGTATTTTATATAGTTAGGTATTTCTTAGACTAGGTATTAACTATTTTGTGTAGTTAACACAGTATTTATGTAACACAAGAGAGCATGTTTTAAGTATATTCTAAAATAGACAGACATATAAATTTGTGTGGAATGTATTTATACTTGCACGTACAGAAAAAAGTGCAATGTCTTTCCTACAATAATTCAGCCATATGATTTAGCAGAGAGATGATGTAGCCAGATTTTTAAAAAGTGAAAAATGGTAACTATGTGAGATGATGACTGTGTTAATTAGCTTAATTGTGGTGATTATTTCACAATGTGAAAGATTGCTTATCCCACTGAGGAAAATACTAAAGGTGTGACCGATTTAAAACTGAGTTTTGATAGTGAATGTAAAGGATTATAGTCATAATACTACAGACACATTTGGAAAACTGTGTGACTATGTCTGGGTAAGTTTTTTGCAAATGAATAGAAATATCTATGTGTTAAGTCACTAAGTAACAGCATATGGATATACTGCAATTTTTAGTACTTGAATAATACTGCTGAAGTAAAAGTGAAGACAACACATTGTCCTACACAGATGTTATCTGGGAAAATTAATATTTTGAATACCATGCAAAATATGAACTTATTGGGACATTGCTTTGCATCACCATAATTAAGTTGCTTATCAGAACTGTTTGAGATACACAAATGACTTTAAAAGGTTAGGAAATTCCGGGTAACTTAATTTTAGTTGAGCAGAAGCACTTTTTATTTTTAGTGCTTGTTCGTACTTTCTACCCTTTGAACAAGTTCGATCTAATGATCTTACATGGTATTTCTGACTCATCAAGAGTTTCTAAAACACTTCTGGCAACTTATCTAATCTGGTCCATTTACTGTTTTCCATATTTACCTGGGAGACTCAGCTCCTGTAGTCTTGAATTTAAAATGACAAAGACAATAAAAATATAGAAACACTTATAAATACTCTTTTCTTTCAGTTTTAAATCTTTCATGTGCCATTGCTCCATAAACACAAATATTTATGTATAAAATTGTAATTATAATTTTCTTTTCTTCACTCATTTGTTCTAAAACCAGTATTTCATTTATTGACACTTCAGAACTCTCTTTCATAATGTTTCATGTTGATGTCTGCATAGATTGCAATGTTTGTTGAATAAACTCAATTATTAAGTGTACTGTTCTGATCTTTGCATAACAATTTGCATAACTACCTCCAGAAATAGATTTTTCTCCCCTAGGAAGCTAGTTTGCAAAGAAAATGTTATGAATTTTCATTGTAATCTGTTAGCTTTTACCTCTAGGCATATTACAGTATTATTTCAAAATGCAGTGTTTCTTCTTTAATTTAGAGCATGTTCCTTAAAATAATAAGACAATCTGCCACATTTTGATAATAACATGATTTAATATAATATAGTGCTAGGATTTGTGCATTCGTTCTGGTTACGCTTGGCCTTTTCTAATGACCTTTTCTACATTTTCAGGGTGAAACAAAGATCTTAAAACTAAAGAATCTTCGACCTCAGGACTATGCTAATTATAGCTGCATTGCTTCGGTGAGGAATGTGTGTAATATTCCAGATAAGATGGTGTCATTTAGGCTTTCCAATAAAACAGGTATGAAACTGTCCCCATTCATTATCTATTAATTGTCTATAATAATTTTAAGAAGACTTTTCAACTTTCTTATAAACCAAATTATTTGTACAATATATGTAGGAACAATCACCTTTTTTTTCCCCAGAAAAAAGTCTAAAAATCTTTTGACAAAGGAACATAGTAAAATTTAATTAAAATATACTCTACATAATGCATCTTTGTATGCAGTATGCAAAACTGTTTTTGCTTAAAATGTTGTATTCATAATGTCACAAGGAAATACATATACTGTTCAAAGAAGTTTGGGAAAAATACTGGACTCTTCATAAAAACTTTATTATCTAAGTTACAAAAGAGTGTTTTGTCATTCAAAAGCTAAGTAAGAACTTTTCTCTATTTCAAGTCAAGGAAGCTAATTATAAATTTCAGGTAGGTGTCTTTAGGACAGTGTTTTTATAGAAAATGTCAAAACATTAGAAAGATTGCAGCAAGTTAGCCTCTGTTTAGTGACAGACCACCCAATAGCTGCAGACAGATTAAGAATAAATTGTTAAATGAAAGAGCAAAAAAAAGCACCTGACTAAAATGTCCTTTGTATGATTTTGTATAATCATCTTAATAAATTAGTATTTGAGCTGGATTTGAGAAGCTCCAATTTTCAGTGGCAATAATAAATTTTTACTTTTAAATAGTTATATGAAACTAGACAGTTTTAAATATCCTTTTTCCCATGCACTTTGTTATATCTATATCTAGGTCTTGGTTCTAACACTAGCTACTGGATCTCGTTGAGCGAGTCACTTCACTTTTTGCCTTGTTTCCTCATAAAGTCATAAATCTGTAGGAAAGAAATATTCAGTTGATACATCTAAAGTTGTGGAATATACACTTTATTATTTCTTCCAGCAAAGAGCTAGTCAGAAAACTCAAATCAATTCCTTTAGTGAAAAGATAAAACCTAGGATTTATTGGAAGATTAAAGAAAAATCTGTGTTCGTATATTGATGCATCAACATATGTCCATTGACTTGCTAAAATCTTGAAATACCTGTTCTTTTATCCATTCATTTATTTATTTATTCATCAGTAATTTACTTCTTGGGCTCCTATTATGAGTCAGAATTTATAGCTTTTAGGAATATTTGACAAAGATGTAAATTGCCTTAAATTAGACATGTTCTGTTAAACACTAGATAAAAGTCATTAGAAGTAAGCACAGACCAATGTGGGAGAGAAAAGAAAATTTTATCAATAGGATGAGCAAGTTTTGATGGGAATTTTGTTAGGAGAAAAAAATGGAAATTTGAAATCCTAGTGAATCTAAAACATATCAAAGTCAATAATCTCATGCCACTTAAAAGTGGAAAAAGGCTAGTATGAAAAAAACCAAGAGATTAACATATAAGAACTGTCTATACCTGTATTGTTCTTGGAATAAATTATACTGTGAATTATTATAACTAATTTCATCTTTCTTGGATTTATTATATTTTAAGATGACCTAGAAAGAAAAATTTAAATAAAATGAATTAGTCCCATGGAATGGTGAAAGACTTTGCAGCTGAACAAGAAAGAATGACACAGCAAATATAATACTAATTGTCTACAATCTTGCACTTTAGTAGTACTTTATTAATTTTTAAATCATGTTTATTATCTAGTTGGATACAATTTTTTAATCACTTCTTTTCTATCATTTGATATATAACTGGCCTATAGAGATTAAAGATTTCTCATTGTATCACTCTGAAAAACCAAATCAACATACACCAAAATTTTTAAAAAGTAAGAATTATCTTAAAAGTAAAAAAGGCAATGCAATTATATTTCCTATTTTATACTGCAGCAACGAATGGTTTGTTTCTAAGACCTCATAGGTTCTAAGGGGTAGGGACAAGATTAATTCATCCTAATATTTGAAGAGTTATTTAAAATAGGAAACTGAGAAGCTCCTTAGTTTTCATAGAGCTGGAGAAAATTAAATGAAGCCAGAGTTTTATTAGGAATAAGTAAGGACATCTTGCTGTAAAGTTGAATGGGGGATATACCACGAAACGTGACACTATTCCTGTCATCTTTTAAAGCAACAGGATGACTTTGTTCTAAGATGACTTTTACAATCATTAGCTGATTATAACTACCCTTCTTATACAAGACACAGAAGGAGTGAAGTCACAAATGTTTTGTTTAACCTTTCAGATTTCTGTTTTATTCTTTATTTTTAGACTAATGTTTATTTAGATAGAGAAAACAAAGACACAAACAAAAAAAACCCAAACAAAAAAAATATTGTCCTTTATAAATTATCTCACAAAAAACTTTAGATTGATATTCATTATAAAATGAGGATTAGACTTATGATAAATAACTGAAATTTGAAATATAAGCCAGTACCTGTTTGGCTTTTCCAATAAGTATAATCAAGCATGTCATAGGCCTGGCACGTTACATATTCAAACCAGGTTTTCTTTGGCAGTTTCTCACCTGGTTGTGGACATAGCTGTAAATGTTTGTGTACTTCAAATAGGTGAAATCTTTGAGGTACCTCTCAAAGTACACCAGGAATAAATTCAGCTCTGATCATCTTTGTGCAAGCAGTCCCATAAACTGACAAGAAAGTGCACATAGGCCAGTTCATTGCTTTTCATACATTAGGGAGGAGCATGAGGCAACATTGACACAGTCAGTGTGAGAGCCGGTGTTCCATATGATTCTCACTATGTGAAACATCGAATGACTCAGATGAAATTTTTTTAAGGTTTTTTGTTGTTTATTTGTTTTTGAGACAGGATCTCACTATGTACCTTATGCTGGCCTCAAAGCCCTAACCCTCCTGCCTTAGCCTCCCAAGTGCTGGAATTACAGGCTTGTGCTATCATATCTGGCTCAAAGTTTTACAGCATAAAAGCTTCACAATGGAGTTCTTTCCTAGGTCCATTCCACCTGCTAAATTAGGCTTACTGATGGATGGACTGCCAATATATACATTTTTTTAATTTTGAGTTTTTCTTTTTATTAATTATAAATTTTTATTAGGATATATTCATTATACAGGGGGATTCATAGTGACAATTCCAATCAGACTTAAATGTACATTGTTTACATTTCTTCCATTGTTTCTCCTCCTCAGCCCTATCCCCACCCCATTTAAAGCAATTACAAGAGTTTCATATAGGTATTTGAAGTCCATTAACTATATAGCATCACCTTGATCTCCTTCCTTCAATCTCACTCCTCCCACTAGTACCCCTGCACACACTGTACCTATTTTATAGTCCTGATTTTCTCTGCTAATATATACATTTTAAAGAAGCTCAAATAATTGTTTTGGATAACAAGTAGTTTTTGTTGTCAGACTGTTTTTCATGAACCCATTCCATTTTGTGAATATGAACTTTTGGTAATAGAAATCAGTTTTCTAGAACTGCTTAGAAAAGCAATGTCTAGGAATCATTTTAAAACAATCAGTGTTTCTATAGATCAACCAACTGTGCATTTTCTTAACCTCCCTCCTTAAATTGGCAATATAGCTCGTAATTTTATATCAAGCAAAGGATACTGTCTAATCATTTGTGAGCCTCAATGATTGCTTGGCATGCTATGAAAATGTCCCTTATGGCAGAAATATCATCATATTTCATCCCTAATCTGTTATCTGCACTGAGCAATTGGCATGGTACTGTAGCCAGGTACAGAAGTTTTTGGTGGTTGCTCTCCTAGTGTCATTTTGAAGAAAAATCACATTAGTTCTTCATTGGCAAACCATTAACATAGCTTTATTTACCATAGTTAGGATTTGTAAATTTAGAATCTTAATAAATATGTGTGTATTTTGAAATCTTCATAATTATGGTAACCAAGTATGAATTATTTTAAATTTCTCGGATTATGTGTATTTCTAACTTAAGGGCATAAAAGAATTATGATAAAAATTTTCATTTATTTTAATGTATTTCAAGCACTTATGTTTTGATGTCTCATGATTTCAAAGGCAAATAAGAATTAAGTAGGTTACCTATATTAGGATGAAAAACATTTTGTACCCACTTGAGAGTTATGATGAATTCTATAAAGAAACAGGGCAGGTGGGGCTAATTTTACTTAATTATATGGGTCTCTTGATTTAGCCTGCTCAACCTTAGCATTTGTCTAATTAAGATGTCTTCCTAAAATGTGCATTACATTTTGGAACTAAGTCATCACAAAATTATTACTGGCTATAGAATTAGTGGAAACCTATACTGCCTCCTCCTTCTCTTCCTTCCTCCTATCTTATTCTTCTATTTTTCTTTTTCTCCTCTCTCCTTCTCTTCTCCTCTCCTCCTCTTCTCTCCTCCCCCTCCTCCTCTTCCTCCTCCTCCTTCTTCTTTCTCTCTCTCTCTGTCTCTACCCTCCCCCATCTGCCTCAACAAATTATCACAGAAGAACATGGAATTAAGAAACATTCTTCTTGTCTATGCTAAGAAATAACTATTATCTGTTACCATTTTCTGTAACTCACAGGGAGTTGTAAATTCTGTGCCCAGCCATTGTGAAATTCAATATAAAACTTTTGCACACTCTGAGCTATTCATGTACTCCTCCTCTAGGTTTAGAGGAATGTCAGCACGAAACAAAATATTTGAACACTTGCTCTTCTGATATGGTATGTTCACTCTTAAACAGTTTAAGTGCCAAAGAAAGTAGTAGTGAGATCTTTACCTGGCTTGCACCTAAGTACTCACCTCCGCCACTTTCCTTATCCATATGGATTTATTAGCTTCTGCTTGTAGATGACCACCACAAATCTAGGTAATCATCTGCAACATTTATTAGAATTTAGGTATGTTATTTCATCAATAATCACAGCTTATTAGGAAGACAGTCTAGTTTTGTGAGAAATATAGAAGGCAAATATGATGATGTCCTCTATTAGCCTGCTTGGGTTATACCATAATACACAGACAAGGAGGCACAAACAAGGGAAAATTATGTTTTCATAGTCTAGAGATTACAAGTGCAAGATCAAGGTGCCATTG